ATTTATCTATGACACCTACTCCCAGGAATAGATTGAATCATGCCCTTTTCATTATAAATTTCTTAACCCTAGATAATAATAATCAATCTGCAGCTGATCGACATTGGCATCCCACAACTCAGGATTCACATGTCTTAGCCATGTGGAAAGATCCTCTCACAGGAGCTTGGAAAGGACCAGATCCAGTGCTTATCTGGGGACGAGGCTCTGCCTGCGTGTATGACAGAGAAAATGCAGAATCACGCTGGCTGCCAGAGTGGCTTCTTAGAGCCGTTAACTCACCACTGTCCAGAAAGGAGGCCAACCCCCTCTCTGAGACATCTTCCTCTCCTTTTCCAGATGCTGCTAATTCTACAAACATGATTGACGGTGATCCTTTACAACCTCTGGGTCTTGTGGATTCTGAACCAATGGGCACCGATGACTGCTATTGGCCTCGGACCACAACCCCATAATCCACACCAACCATGGAACTACACCTGGGTCGTGCTGTCCGAGCGGCGTGATATCATTTGGTCAACATCTCGGATCACCCCTCGTGTGGCCAGAAGTCTTAACCCCGGACTTATGTAAGCTTGCTCTTAGGGCTGCCAACTCTTGGGGACTTAATACTCTCTTCGGACTTTCTGTAGCACCTGAACTGCCTGACCAATCCTATGACCCAGGATGTGCTGATACTCGACAACGAGTTCTCCTCTGAGCCACCGATTTTTATGTGTGTCCCGGAAGCCACCGTGATCGTCACCTTCTTCATAAATGCGGTGGCTCTGCTGACTATTTCTGTGCCTCTTGGGGATGTGAAACTACAGGCACTGCTTACTGGGTTCAAGACTCAGAGAATAAAGACCTGATTACAGTCAGACGCAACTTCAGCTACCCAACTACAGCAGCAGTCTATGGCCTCACTTTCCTTTCCTCCTATTATGACGACACCGCTGCATGCAGTCCCAATCATCCTGACACAAAGGGTTGGTGTACCCCTTTAGAAATCCGGTTCACCTCTAGAGGGCACACCAACCAAGAAGAGACTTGGATGAGAGGCCGTGATTGGGGACTTAGATTGTACCAGTCAGGGAAAGACACGGGCGTATTATTTCCCATCAAATTGTTAAAAGAACCTGTTAATGCTACATATCCTGCTAATATTGGACCTAATAATGTTATTGCATATAAGCCTCCTTTACCTCGACCACCTATCCGATCTCCCATTCCTTCCCAACCCCTCAATCTCTCCCATCTTCTATCAATGCTCGCTCCCCGCCTCCCTCACCATCTCCTCCTTTACACCTCAATCTCCCTGCCCTCCCTTCCTGACAATCTTATTTTGACCTTGGTTAACCAAACCGCCTTAACAGTCAATGAATCTTCACCTGAATTTATGAATGACTGTTGGCTTTGTACAAATGCCCGTCCCCCATTTTATGAAGGTATTGCCTTAATTGATGTTTTTTTACTATTCCAATTCTTCCTCCTCTTGTAGGTGGACCAGCAGCGACTGGTCTGGTATGTCTTTAACCCAGGTTGTTGGTCTAGGTCTCTGCTTGACTACCTCCCATAGATTCCCCCCATTTAGGTTCCTTCTCTTACTTGTGTAATTCTACCATTATTCCAGCAGCCCATTCTCAATACCTTCTTCCCCCTAGTGATGCTTGGTGGGCCTGCACTGGCGGCCTCACCCCTTGCCTTTCCTATCAGGTTTTTTCACTTCATAAGGAATTTTGTATTTTAGTCCAGTTAGTTCCTCATTTGTCCTATTATGCCTCTGAGGAATTCTTACAACTATGGGAGTCCAATCCCACTTCCCTCTCCCGTTCAAAACGTGAGCCTATCACCGCCCTTACCATTTCTGTTCTGCTGGGACTTGGCGCTGTCGGCGCTGGCACTGGCATTTCCTCTCTCATTCTTTCCCAGAATCGGTATGCCGAGCTGCGTTCCACCATTGATGAAGATATACAACGTTTACAACAAGGCACTGATGATTTAACTGATTCTCTCTCCTCCCTAGCTGAGGTAGTGTTACAAAATCACCGTGGCTTAGATCTATTGTTCTTGCAGCAACGAGGCCTAAGCGCTGCCCCTAAAGAGGAATGTTGCTTTTATGTAGATAATACAGGTGTTGTAAAGGAGAGCATGAAAAAGATTTGCGAAAGTCTTAAAAAACGACAACTACAAAGCGAAAAGGAGGAAAGCTGGTATAAAAATTGGTTTTCTCCATCCCCCTGGCTCACTACCTTATTACCCACTATATTGGGGCCCCTAGTTGGATTATTGCTTTTGATTTCCTTTGGTCCCTGGGCATTCACTAAACTCACTAACTTGGTAAAACAACAAATTGAAAATTTAGCTGCAAAACCCATTCAAGCATATTGCCACCGCTTAGTTCTAGAAGACAGATTGTGTTCAGAGAGCCCTGACTCGAGAAGTGAACCCCCACGTTGTAATGCACGGCTCCAGTCTTCTGATCGGTTCGCCTAAGGTAATGTGGCCGTTTACAGTAGGGGCGGTGTTTTCCTGGCAGGACTGTCATTAATGGCAGCGTTGCCAGGGAATACATGCTCCAGCTATGAAATGCTACATGGCCCTTTTCTAGGAAGTGTGTAGCACCTTTCTGATACCCCACCAACCTAAGACAGGGAGCCCTGGATGACTGGCAGGGCTGCCCAAAGACGGGTAAGAGCTGAGGGTCCCTCAGAATGAACCTAAGACAGGCAGCGCTTATCTTGCCAACAAACCTTTTTGTTTTTTCTTTTCGCTGCTTTCATTGACATATAGAAAAGAGGGGGAGATGTAAGGAGCCGTATACTATAGCCACACTGAAGCCATTTTGAATATAGAACTATGGGCCAGTGGAAAATCCCCGGCTGGCTAGATGCTTGGGAAAGAAGTTATGAAACAAATCACACGCTTAGCTTCAATTGTTTGTAGCAACTGTTTTAGAATGTGATTTATGCTGTACCTGCCGACATCCTGTTATTGATTACCTATGCTATTGTTAATATGCTGGTTACTATTGTTGATATGGTGACTGCTCAAGAACAATCGGTCTGGAGACCATGGCTTGCGTCCTAGCTTTTCCTTTCCTCCCTGAGCCTTAGTTACTGAAGAGTATAAAAACCCTCAATTAAAATCAATAAACTGACAGCTTGATCAGACATCCTGTCTTGCTGTCCATTCTTCGTGTCTCTTGTCCCCCAATCTCTCCTAGGTGGTTGCGACCCCCGTTGACTGTCCTGCTGGATGGGACACCAGAGATCCTCATGGAGGCCTGCCTGCCCACGGTAGGGAACGGCAACTTCCCGGCACTGACCCAGCCTGGACAGAAGTTATGTGGCTCACTGTAGTGAAATCCTGGCCTATCTTCGTTCATTTCATTAGCATGCCCTCCCAAGGAAGCATCATTTGACTAAGCCCATGACCTTAACCCCCAGTTAACCTTCAACCCCACACCGTACGGAACTCTTGTGCCTATGGAGGAAGGTAGAGACTTTCTCAAAAGGAGGCTTTTCCTGACCCTGTAACTCTGGATCATTGGTGAATAACAGTGAGCATGACCAAGATGGGCAAAGTGCCCAAAGGGCAGGCCTGTGACCTCTCTCCCATCTGACAAACAGTTCTTCGGTCAACTTTCCTCTCCATGCAAGCGGCTGCAAATGACCTCACCCCCTCCTCTGGCCGCTTCTGGTGACAAGCATCCCACCTCCTTTCAGAAACAGTCCTCAGAGGTGTGACTTCACCTGACTTTCTAACACAGCTGAGATTACAAGTAGAGGAAGAACACACTTTTGACTTTGAGCAGGTGCAAGGGACAGATCTAGGAGACACAGTCAATGACAAGTTTTTTCTAAAGTTTTTTTTTTTAATGTTCAAAATACTAGGACAAAGTTCTGGCAGGGAACTCTCTGCCCCTGCAAGATGCAAAAAGCTGAGGAAAACTTAACACCAGGCCCAGGTTGGTATGCAGAAGTCTGAAAATAAGAGCAGATGTGCCTTGGCTATGCATGATGTGTGTGTGTGTGTGTGTGTGTGTGTGTGTGTGTGTGTGTGTATACAGCTACACAGTCCTATGCAATGAACTGAAGTCTTCCTAACTCTGATTATTCACTGGAAAAAAAAATTGTATTACAGCTTAAAAAAAATTCCAGCAAACTGAATTTAGAGGCAATTTAACTTAACTCTCTTTGAACACACTTTGGTCTCTGTCACTATATCTGATGGTGCCCACGCACACATAAGAAGGCCACTGATGAGCAAGTCGAATGCCCTGTCAAGAACTACATCATGACCCACCTGCTCCCCCGCTTACAAACAGAATAACTTAGAAGAAACACACTGCGAAAAAACAGGAATGAACTAGAAACAGAATATTGAGGTCATCCTGTTTATGGCTACTCAGCTTCAGAACATTTAAGGCATCTTCACATTTTTAATTAATCAGGGACCCTGAAGACAATATTCACCCAACACAAATGAGTGTCTGTAACAATGAAATAGACCAAGTGCACTCTAAGGAGGTGTTAGAGCATCAGCGAGTCACAAAAGCAAATACAGTCCTGACTGCCGGCACAGCGTGCACGTGCCTCGGGGAAAGCAGCCGGCCACGAGACGGCGGCTCCTGCCGGATTCCACCCAGCCACCCTATCCAGGGCAAGAAACGCTCAGAACAGAGAGCGGGACTGCGGAACCGAGCGCAGCGGAGGATCAAAGTGATTTGGAACGTGACACAAAACAGTTGTGCAATACGGTGAATTCACTAAATTGAACATTCTAAATTTTATGTTCTATGAATTTGGGCTCAATTAAAATAAAAGCACTTAGGGAGAAAATTATCAATCTGTGGGAATATCTCATTACCTATGACTGCACCTGAGTACACACAACTGATCTGGGTTATCATATCTAAGCCAGTGGAGAGTAAGATGTTCCAGAACCCAAAGAGCCCACAGGCAGCCAGTGTGTAGGAAAGCCAGTCAGGGAACAGTAGTCTCCCTGAGCATTCTCACCCACAGAGAGCAGGCGCCAGGAGACGGCGGGCGTGGCGAAGCAGGCGAAGACGTCGTCGGTGCAGGAGAAGTGGGTGAGGTGAGGCAGGATCACCGACTGGCCCCGGCACTGGCCCCACATGTACACGTGCCCGCCCTGGGTCTTGGCGGCGGACGTGTGCGCAGAGTGGCAGGCTGCGATCTCCACTACCCTGAAATTGTAAGAATACAGGTCAGTTTTTACAATGACAGCATACAATGCAAGGTAATTAAAAAGTTCAGGCTTGCAACATCTCAAACTATCACTATCTCTCTCTCTTTCCAGGACCCAAAGACATGAGCTACCAAGGCATACTGACCAAATCACATAAGATTAAGGCACCCAGATTACCCTCACTTCCATGCCAGGTGCTATTGGGGACAACTTGGGAAAACAGAACAGAAACCAAGGTAAGGGAGGACAGTGGCAACTGACAAAACATTGACTGTTCTGGAGGCTTAAATGGCAGCAAGAAACACTAGGGCTGTCCTCATCATTCCATTTCTTCATCCAAACTCTCTCTCCTCCCCTACCAGCACTCAGAACACTGGTCTAGGGTCATGGAGCCTGAACGTTGCTCTCTGAAGGCAAGCTTACCCCAACTCCCTGCTTTCTTCACTTTGCTTCTTAGGGTCCCAAATCAGATGTCAACACTCCAGGACTTGGTAAAAAAAAACATTACTGTCTGGGCATCTCTTTCAATAATATGCATTAAGCCAGTCACAGCTACACAGAAAATGCCCTTTTCAGAGCAGATTTTAGATAATAGGTCTTTCAGCAGGCTCCAAGGCAAGTGTGTACCACACTGTGAACTTCAGCATGGTCAGAGACCCAGACTGACTTCCTACTAGGGAGGGCAGCACCAGATCTGCTGGAATTATGCCATGACATGTTTGTGCCTCCTGCCCATAGGCGGGCAATGCCCAATACTGCCCAGCTCACAGTTTCATGTTCCTTATGGTTAGTACTCAAATTCTCTGGTTCAAACAGAGCACATCAATAAAACACAATGGTCACAACACCCAGTCCCCAGTCCACAGCTCAGCCACGTTACCTTTCCTTCTCCACCATGATGTGTGCTGGGCTTAGCAGGTTATTTTTATTGCCAGTTCCCAGCTGCCCATACGTGTTAGCTCCCCAGGCATAGAGCAAGCCCTCGTCTGTTAGTGCTAGGGTATGTGCATAGCCGCAGACAATCTGCAAGTAAACACAAATGGTTACCGTTACCAAGAAGACAGGAAAGGCAGAGAGGGCAACACCTAACAGAGTACAGCCAGCTTCTGCAGGAGACTCAGTTCTCACCAGGCAGGGGCTAACACTTGCCAGAACGTTAACAACAGCATCAGGAAAGCCTACAGCTTGGAGGCCTGGATTTACTCATCAAACCTGGTGTGCAACCACCAGGGGCTACCGCCCACTTCTCTTGGGCAGTGGGGGAAGACAGGCACAGTACTAACTGTGGATGCAAAGGCACAGGCTGCTATGACGAGACTGCTGGAGGAGTTACTCTCCAGGACATCGGAGTCAACACAGGACAGACAGACGGGGCTCAGCTAGCCAAAAGGCCACCACACGTACCTGGTTCACACACACGCTGTGCAGAGCTGCCACACGCACAGGTGTCAGCTGATTGCCATTGTTGCCCAAGCCCAGCTGACCGTTGCCATTGTAGCCCCAAGCATACACCTTAGAAGAGAAAGGGAGAAAACCAAAGTTGACAACACAGCCCCTCCAAACAAACCAGACAATTCCAACACAAACACACTACTAGTACACAGGATCCTACAAACGATCTCCCAACAGGAGGTATTTTCAGCAAGGATCCCATAAATTGGGGCCACTTCCTACTCTGCAATTTAGTAGCTGGATATCCTTGGGCAAGTCATATTCACTCTGTTTTCTTACCTGAAGAAGCAAGCAGAGGTACCCCAGCAGTTATTAAGCACTTACTGTACACACCAGGACTCCATGAGAGATGCTAGGAAGAGTCTGCCCACAGTTTAACAGGGGAAAGGGACATTGGCAAATCGGCAAGTGCTGTGATGCAGATATAACCAAGGTAGCCCAGAAACAGTGAGGAAGAGGGATTTAGTTCTAGTAGCAATACTTAGATCTGAGTTGGAGGATGAGCATGGGTAATGGGCTACAGAAGATACGGAAGGTAAGGAGGGTACCTAGCACACACATCGGGAGCACAGCAAGCAAAGCGGCAAGGGCCAGGGCCAGGGGACACAGGGACAAAACATTTGGGAAGAGTGAACCCCATCTATGAATTTTACACTGAGACATTTCAAACCAGACACACATTAATTATATTCACATTTCTGAAAGGCCCTGTTGGCTGAGTTCTGAAGGACAGGGACATACACACAGACTAGAGGTGGGAAAGCCAGCGTAGGTGACAACACCTCCCATCAGCACACAGGCAAGTGTTGACGAGGTGCTAAGCTTAGGAAGACCTGTGGGTCAGGAGAGGGGATGACAGCCAAGGGGTTCCGTGGAAAGTCACAGAATGAGGTGCTGCCGGGTACTGTTCTGGACCATCCGCTCAAAGTGATAGAGCTGGTGTAGTTTTCACATGTGGAAGGTTTCTGGGAGACACAGAGGAAGTATGGACCAGGAAGAAACAAGCCAGACTACTTCAGATGAGAAATCTGAACCTGTGGAGGATCGCAAACAGCGGGGCAAAGATCTCCTAGTGAGAGATGGGAGAAAAAAGTCTAACAGGCAAGAACTTTTTGGAGAAAAATTTGGCAAGTCTTATCAACTTTAAATGGCATAGTTCTTGACCCAGAAATTCTATTTCTGGAGATTCAATCAGTAGACATATTTGCATAAGTTACAAGAATAAACAGAATAACACCAGATCAGCACAACATTGTTCACCAAAGTAAGAAAAAAAATTAAACGACTGAAACGTCCATCAGTGGGGTCCTGGATGTGGGTCAGAGGAATTAAACTAAAGAACCTTTGTGGCAACACCACATGAATTTTTAATGAATGTTTAAGAACAGATGCAGACAGAAAATGAACTGTCAAGTGGGGGAGGCGGAAGCAAGTTGCAGAACAGCAGAGAACAGTCTGATCAGCCCAGGTTTATAGAACAGTGAATGATATCCAGCCCTACAGAACTGTTCACAGGGGGAGAAAGTCCAGAAGATTCTGTATCAAACTAATAACAAGACTGGCGTAAAGGTATTCACTTTTTACTATATGCTTGTTTTTTAAGGATTTGCATAATGTAGTGGTTATTATGTTGGCTCACACACAAAAGATACCTGGTTCAAAACCAGCCCAAAACTTGCTTTTTAAAAATAAAGGAAGGGGACCAGCATTGAGACCTAACAGCACCAGCACTGACCCCAGCATCCCATTCTACTTCTGATCCAGCTCCCCGCCAATGGCCTGGAACAAGCAGTAGAATAAGGTCTAAGTGTCTGGGCCTAGGCCACTCATGTGGCAGAAAAGCCAGCTGAGGCTCACAGCTTTACCTGGCCCACCACTAACCACTGCAGCTATCTAGAGAATGAAAAAGTGGATGAAAGATCTCTTCATCCTTCTTACTCTTTCAAAATAATTAAAAAAAAATTAGAATGTGGGGCACGGCGGCATGGCCTAGTGGCTAAAGTCCTCACCTTGAATGCGCTGGGGTCCCATAAGGGCACCGGTTCTAATCCTGGCAGCTCCGCTTCCCATCCAGCTCCCTGCTTGTGGCCTGGGAAAGCAGTCGAGGACAGCCCAATGCTTTGGGACCCTGCACCCGTGTGGGATACCTGGAAGAGGCTCCTGGTTCCTGGCTTTGGATCAGCATAGCAGCGGCCGTTGGGCTCACTTGGGGAGTGAATCATTAGATGGAAGATCTTCCTCTCTGTCTCTCCTCCTCTCTGTATATATCTGACTTTCCAATAAATAAATAAATCTTTTTTAAAAAATTAGAATGCGAAAACAATAGATGAGTAATCCAAGAAATTCTGGAGTAACCCAGGATGCTATTACAGCAGATTGAACAAACAAGCTATCATGGATGAGCACTCACAGGATGTCACAGCATCCTGGTACCCCACTGCAGGATGCCAGAGCATCAGTGGCCAGAGAGATAACTTTAACTTCCTCGCACTAAGACATGCATGGGTGCTAATAAACCTATTTTAGTACAAACTGCAACTGGAAGTAATTTTAGACAAATAAACATCAGTTTAAAGGGGATCACAGTAGATGGTTAATTTAGGGTTTTGCTGTTGTTGTTCTAATGTAATTAACAATCATGACAAACGAAAAATTATTTTGCAAGTTCCTCTTATTCCCATAAACAATTATTTAAGACACAGGGTGGGGATGAAGGTGAAGGGCTGGTGTTGTGGCACAGTGGGTTAAACTGTGGCCTACAATGCCAGCATCTTACATTGGAGTGCTGGTCCTCTTCCAGGGTTGCTTCACTTCCAACCCAGATCCCAGCTGACGCACCTGGGAAGGAGTAAGGGATGGCCAAAAGTAGCTGGAGCCCCGCATCCACACAGGAGATGTGGATGGAGATTCAGTCTCCTGGCCTTGCTGCACCTCCTGGGCCAGACTTGCTGGGGAGCAAACGAGCGGATAAAGGTCTCCCCATCTCTCTAACTACTCTGCTTTCGGAAGAAATGAATCTTAGAAAAAAAAATTGACCATGACACAAGTAGTTTTACAAAGATGTCAACAGCTGACTTGAAAGAACACACAGCTTTTTCCTGGGATGAAAAAATTAATATCAAACTCTGTAATTCATTATATTAGATCCCCAATACCCGACCAGTTATCGAATGAAAGTTTAATAAGCTGCCACCTGCAATACTGGCATCTCATAAGGGTACCAGTTTGAGTCCCAGCTGTTCTTTTTTTTTTTTTTTATGCAATTCCCTGCTAGTAGACACAGGAAAGAAATAGAGACTGGCCCAAGTGCTTGGGCCTCTGCACCCACATGGTAAACCAGAGAAAATTCCTGGCTTCAGACCTGCTGGGTCCAGGCCACTGTGGCCATTTAGAGTGACCTTCTCAGAGGATGGAAGGTCTCTCCCTCTTTAACTCTGCCTTTCAAATAAATGAATCTTAAAAAAAAGAAAGCCATCCTAATGAGCAGTGACCAACTAACCACGGATGGGGTTAGCAAGGCAAAGCCCTCCTTCCACAAAGTGAGAAAGTGCATACACCCCCTCCCGTGAAAAAACTGAACTTTCACCAAAAAAAGGAGGCAGCCAGGGAGAGGGGCAATACATGGAAAGAACACTCACCTCTCCATTGTCCAGAACAGCCATGGAGGAAGTCTGACCACAGGCAATGCCGACTACCCGCTTGATGTGTAAACAGTTGGTGACTTTGCGAGGAGTTGGCTGATTGGCTGTGGACCCTGACCCCACCTGGCCACAGTTGTTGTAGCCCCAGGCAAATACCTGCACAAAAGAAGGGGGAAAGAACTGTTAGGGTGAAAATTCTATCTCTGAAACAAGCAAGCAAGCCAAAAAAAAAAACTCACTCAATAGGTACTTAACAATGCTTCTGATGGATTAACGAAGGCAATGTTAAGCAAGCATTCAGGAGACACCATCGCAGCAAGTCATACGGTCCTTTCTAAAGAAGCAGTACTTATGCACAATTTTCACGCACAAATCAAGCATAAGTAAGCTTCAACACACTGGACGTAGAAATCACAACCAAAAAATATTTCAGAGAAATGAACATCAGGTCAAAGGTAAATGGTTCTCAAAGCTGCATGTATATTCACTAACCTACTCAACCCTCACAGTAATCCTACGGGGTAGTTCATATCATCCCTTTCACATACAGAAACTGAAAGGCAGAGGTCAAGTGCTCCACAGTTAGCAAGTAGTAAACTTAAACCCATGGATCTAGCAGCATCTTTCACTGCTACACTGCAGCGTGTAGCCATGGCAACTGAGAGCCTTTCACCAAGCTCACCTGAAAATCACATTATGAAAAAACTATGCATAGATTTTTTTCATAACTTTATGTCACAAAAAAATTTTCACTCTTTTTTCCCATGACCTTTCTGAGGTACTCACTTGGAAATTTTTTATTCTGGGAACAGCAGGAAATAAAGCACGTATCACTTTATATGTAAGTGACAAAATCTTTTCAATGTTTCAGGCACAAATACACATTGTTTTTCATAGAGGTATCTCTAAGCATCTTCTGCTTGTGCCCATCTTACTCTGCAACCCCTGGGCAATGTAGAACCTTTGCCAATTTCAGTATCTTATCAATCAACCCCAGTCCTGGCAATGCTGGGGAGACATTATGTCCCCACAGAAACAACACTGGATCAGTTCTCCTCTGCTGCCTGTCAGCATCAAACAGTTCCCTCATCTGCACTTACACCTGCTTTTCTTTTGTTATCTCCCATACCCCAAGAGCAGACTTCTCACGGACGGACGGATGGATGCACACTCAACTCAGCTGAAAACTTAACCAAGAGATGAAAACTGGAAAACCAAACACTACTCCTGGTTAATCAAACTGATTTTCTTGAACAGGAGCATAACCAGCGAAGAACCAGGGTGGAGCGTTGGCAATGGAGGAAGTAGGTCTCCAACACGAGGAGGATTTGCAAGGTCCCACCCCGACCGCTGGCCTCACACTTGCCCATTCCTCATTCATCCTAAGGGTGGCCTCCATATTTCCCTTCCTCTATCAGCACAGAGGTTACATGTCTGATCCTGCACAGAGCAGAAACAAAATAAACAAATGATGTCTTAAAACAAGACAGGCCCTGGAAACCTTTACAAAATCCATAAACGAGAGGCTTCTCACAGTTACGAAAGAAATAATATTCAACAATTTCTCAGTACATTCATATGAATATTTAGTCTAATGCACAAATTTAGCACAACTATCAAAATTAGTACATGCCTTAGGCTGAAATGAAGCAACAAACCAAATTACACAAATTAGCAAATTCTAATTTCAACAGTCACTTTTCTAGCATTTCTTCTCAAATATCCCAGATTCCCTCGCAACGCTGCTGCCTTTTATTTAAAAATGGGTACTGTAGGCCCAGTGCGATGGCGTAGTGGCTAAAGTCCTCCCCGTGAATGCACCAGTACCCAATATGGGCACTGATTCATATTCTGGCTGTTCTGCTTCCCTTCCAGCATTCTTCCTGTGGCCTGGAAGAGCAGTGGAGGATGGCCCAAAGCCTTGGGACCCTGTACTCACGTCACCCATGTGGGAGACCTACAGGAGGTTCCAATCTCCTGGCTTCAGATCAGCTTAGCTCTGGCCATTGCAGCCACTCAGGGAGTACATCTGTTGATGAAAGATCTTTTTCCCTGTATCTCCTTCTCTCTGTATATCTGCCTTTCCAATAATAGAAATAAATCTTAAAAACAAAAATGGGAACTGTAGGGACCAATGTTGTGGCACAGAGTTAAGCTGCCAGCTGCAATGCCAGCAAAACCATGTGGGAACTAGTTCATATCCTGGCTGTTTTCATTTCCAACCCAGCTCCCTGCTAATGCACTTGGGAAAGCAGCCTATGATGAACCAACTCGCATCCCCTGTAGTCACATGGGAGACCTGGATAGAGTTCCAGGCTCTCCGCTTTGCCTGAGCCAGCACGAGCCTTTGTAGCCATCTGGGGAGCCAACCAGCAGAGGAACGACCTATCACTCCCTCTGTAATGCTTTCAAGCAATCTTTTAAAATTAATAACTACATAGGGACTGTACAGGGCTAGTGCTTAGCCTACAAGGTAAGTCTCAAGTTAAGAGGCCGGCATCCCATATTTGAGTGCTAGGATGGATCCCCTCTCTGGAGAACAATGCAGATGCTCAGGTAACGGGGCTAGGAGGTGCTCCTGGTTCCTGGCTTCAGCACATCTGGGGCTGGGAATATCTGGAGAGTGAATCAGTTGAAGAAAGTGCTGTCCCTTAAAGATTTAAAAAAATAAAAACAAAGGGAGACCATAGTTATACTAGCAGAGAGTGGATTCAGGGCATGAGGCCTGTGTGTGCACTAGGCCTGGCCCCACCTCATTCCACCCAGGAGATCCCAATACTTCTGGACACTCTGTTTCTTCATCTATCACTTGTCTTCCTTAGCCAATTAACCATATCACACTGAAGACTTTAAGCAGGGGTACAATACAATCTAATCACACTTTAGAAATCATCTGGGGTACGAAGAGACCTGGAAGAAGCTCCAGGCTCCTGGCTTCAGAACTGCTCAGCTCCAGCTGTTACAGCCACTTGAGTGAATCAGTGGACAGAAGATCTTCCTCTCTCTCTCTCCTTGTCTCTGTATTTCCGCCTTTCCAATAAAAATAAACCTTTCAAAAAAAAAAAAAAAGAAGAAGAAAAATCATCTCAGGGCCAAGCATGATGGCTGATGGAACAGTGGCTAAATCTCAGCCTTGCAAGTGCTGGCATCCCATATGGGTGCCAGTTCACGTCCCAGCTGCTCCACTTCCAGCTCCCTGCCTGTGGCCTGGGAAAATAGTAGAGGACGGCCCAAAGTCATGAGACCCTGTACCCATGTGGGAGACCCAGAACAAACTCCTTCCTCCTGGCTTCAGATTGACTCAGCTTTGGCCATTGTGGCCACACTGGGAGTGAAGCAGCTGATGGAATATTTCTCTCTGTATCCCCTTCTCTCTGTAAATCTGCATTTTCAGTAAAAATAAGTTTTTAACAAAAAGAGAAAGAGAGAGAGAGAGAGATAGGGAAAAGAAGGGATGGAAAAGGAAAAAATCATGAGCAAAGGGACAGCCTGGTCTTGTGGCTGTCTAATCCTCCACCTGTGGAGCAGGCAACCCACAGAGGCACCAGCTTGTGTCCTGGCTGCTCCACTTCCCATCCAGCTCCCTGCTTGTGGCCTGGGAAAGCAGTCGAGGATGGCCCAAAGCTTTGGGATCCTGCACCCACATGGGAGACCTGGAAGAGGCTCCTGGTTCCTGGCTCTACATTGTTGCAGCTCTGGCCATTGCAATGACTTGGGGAGTCAATCATCACATGGATGATCTTCCTCTCTGTCTCTCCTCCTCTCTCTATGTATCTGACTTTCTAATAAAAATAAATAAGTATCTAAGAAAATGCAATTCAGTGCCCATCAATGAAAGAATGGACAAAATGGAGACTACATGCAATTGGACAGCAATCAGCCTTAAAAAGAAAGCAGATCATGTCACACACTATAGCATGGATGGACCTTGAAGAGATCAGTCTAAGTGAAATAAGCCACTTATCAGAAGATAAACACTGTATGATTCCACTCAGCTGGTATCTAGAGTCATTAAACTCTACTACCATCAGAACAAAGTAGACTGCAGGTTGCCAGGGGCTAGTGAGAAGACAGACTGGAAAGCTGGTGCTTCATAGGTGCAGAATCTCACTTGTACAAGACGGAGTGGGTTCTGTGGATGCAATGGTTCTGGCTGTACAACAATGTTCTAATATCACTTACCCACAGATAAACCATGGATTATTTGTGTTTTACCACACTAACAATAACAAAGGGTAAAAGCATCACACTTACCTCTCCATCAGCTGCCAGAACCATTGAATGATGTGAGCCACAGGCTACTTCAACCACTTGCTTGATCAAAAGATTGGTACAGACTTGGATGGGAGCAATGCCTTGGTTGGTGGTCCCATTCCCCAGCTGGCTGTATCCATTGTGGCCCCAGGCATAAACCACTCCATCTGGACACACAAGGCACACAGAATGAGCTCCAACAAGAACTAACCTTATTTTCTTCCTAGACTTTGCATAACCTTCATTCAGCTCACAATGTCCCCTCATCTTTAAACAATAACCACTGATGGGGAATGAGGCGAGATGGAACAGAGAGCAAGATAGAGGCAAAAATTTGAGCAAAAGGACTTAGGAATAATGTAGAAGGAAGATTAGCTTTCGGTTCAAAAGTTCACAGTGGGTCAACAAGCAGACCACACAGCAAAGCACAACACTGATGTGTACCATTACTGTACCGGGCATGTCTCAGGGAACCCAAGGCACCTGTGTGAGTGAGGGTGTGTCACTCATGCAGTATAGAAGAAAGGCGTACATTGTTTGCAAGCAAAACAAAAGTTGGAGCACCTTTTAGGCAAACTAAGCAGCATAATCTGGCTGAATTCACTGTTTCCCATAAACCAACCATTTCTTCCACTATGCTTACTTATTCCAGAGTACAGCAAAGATGCTTATCCTTGCTTTACGACTTTTTTGATTTCTGGATGACTCAGTGGCCAGCATCTTCCATCAAGTGGCAGCTTCACTACCCTACTGTGGCTAGCTTTGGAAAATGTAACCAGGTCATTATAACGGATGCACAGTGAAACAGGACAGTGAAACACATAAGGTGCACGTGGCAAGGGGGGGGGTGGGCAAAGCATCCATGCTCTTATGTGGCCTGCCACCCTTGCAAGACTTCATGGACCCAGAAATCCCTCTGACCATTGTTAATCAACAGCTTTGAGGGATTCCAACAGGGGAACTTTCATGTTATGCACTTATTCCCACAGGATGCCTAGAAAAGAGCGCGAGTCTTCCTGAACCAATCTTCTCACTTTCCCCATGGGAACAAAGCATCCTGACCTGTTAGGAACAATCTAGATCTGGCAGCAAGGCCACCCCAGCACCACAGTGGACATCTGAGGGCTGTGGTCAGGCTGCTGGCTTGCTGGCGAGCGTCCCGAGCCTCAGCAGCTCTGCAGATCTGCTCCAAAAGATGACAGGCCAGGAAGACACAGGCACATCTAGGGAGCTGCTGACGGGTGTCTCGCCTGGTGCCCCACCAGAGGAAATTACACAAAGCATCACTAGGAAACTGCACGCTAGCACAGATGAGGTTAAAAGAGTACATAGATCATTATGTTAAAGTTACAGGAGGGTAAAGAGATGTTCAAACCTATGTAGATTTGTAAGCTTTTCAAACAATAGCAATAAAATGCTTCAAGTTACTTTGCGTCGTGACTCACTGGGAAGAAACAACGAAGAGGAGGAGCCTACCTTGAAGGCTCAACAGGCTAATTCCCCCCCTCAAAGTGCCAGCATTCCATATGGGCACCAGTTTGTGTCCCAGCTGTTCTACTTCCTAACTAGCTCCCTGCTTGTGGCATGGGAAAGTAGCAGAGGACGGCCCAAAGCCTTGGGGCCATGCACCCATGTGGGAGACCTGGAGGAAGAAACTCCTGGCTTCAGATTGGCTCAGCTCTGACCACTGAGGGAGTGAACCAGTAAGTGGAGAATCTTTTTCTGTCTCTTCTCTCTGTAAAATCTAACTTCCCAATAAAAATAAATTTCAAAGAAAAAATCAAGAGGAAAATCCTATTTTAAAAAAAAGACAACTAAGGGCCCGGCAGCATGGCCTAACGGCTACAGTCCTCACCTTGAATGTCGCAGGATCCCATATGGGTGCCGGTTCTAATCCTGGCAGCTCCACTTCCCATCCAGCTCCCTGCTTGTGGCCTGGGAAAGCAGTTGAGGACAGCCCAAAGCTTTGGGACCCTGCACCCGCGTGGGATACCCAGAAGAAGTTCCTGGCTCCTGGCTTTGGATCGGCGCAGTACCGGCCATTGTGCTCACTTGGGGACTGAATCATTGGACGAAGATATTCCTCCCTGTCTCTCCTCCTCTCTGTATATCTGACTTTCCAACAAAAATAAATAAATCTTAAAAAAAAAAAAAAACAACTAGCTTCAAAAATTAAGCCAGTGGGAAGTTTCTAACATTACTAATAGAATACGGACAGACAGTTCAGCCAGTCAATGGAAAGGAATGCTAACCCATGATGTAGGCCAATTGCATAGGAAAAGGAAACCTGCGACAGCTGATGGGAGAGGGACTCCCTACAAGTTTCAGGGAGATACCTGAACAGTCGGACTGAAGTCAGATTCATTCCTCTTACTGTACACTGTAAAAACTACTCACAGAGGGCCAGGCGCAGTAGCCTAGCAGCTAAAGTCCTCGCCTTGCATGCCCGGGATCCCATATGGTCACCAGTTCTAATCCCAGCAACCTGCTTCCCATCCAGCTCCCTGCTTGTGGCCTGGGAAAGCAGTCAAGGATGGCCCAAAGGCTTGGGACCCTGCACCAGCATGGGAGACCCGGAAAAGGCTCCTGACTTCAGATCAGCACTGGCCATTGTGGTCACTTGGGGAGAAAATGAGTAGGTGGAAGATCTCCCTCTCTGTGTCTCTCTTCCTCATTGATTTTCCAATAAAAATAAACAAATCTTTAAAAAAAAAACTATTCATAGAAACAAACTGAAAAAGGTATAAATATAAAGTCAGATTGGAACTATAAGACTATGTGACTTCTTTAATAATACAGGCATAGGGAAACCTTTCCCTATCTAAAAATTCAAAAGCAATAGTTAGACAAATCTAGTTACACTAAAATACACATGCATGTATTTATATACACATCTCACATGGAGGGGGGAAAAGGCCACCATGCACAAAGAAAAACTAAATACTGAGGAAAACATTTGTCATTTATAACACCAAGAGATAATCTCCCAAAAATAAGAGCAGTTCCTAAAAACAAACAAACAAAAAAACAAAAAAACCCAAGATTCTTACAGAATCATGAATTGACAGTTGGCACACAACCAGCTGTCAACTGGGGCCAGCAAGATGGTACAGCAAGTAAAGCTATGCCCATGACACCGGCATGCCATCATGGGTGCCATTTCAAACCCTGCTGCTCTACTTGCAACCCAGCTCCCTGTCAATGTGCCCAGGAAAGCAGAAGAGGGTCAAGTGCTGGGGCCCCTGCACCATGTGGAGCACCTAGAAGTTGTTCCTGGCTTCACACCCAGCCCAGCTCCAGCCACTGTGGCCATTTGGGGAGTGCACCAATGGACAGATGATTTGTCTCTTCCTGTCTACCATATAACTCTTTCAATTAAATAAATCTTTAAAAAGGAGAGGAGGAGCTTTTAGTCATATGAAAAGATGCTCAATCTCAACTTTTTTAAAATTCAGTTTTATTTTTAAAAGGAAAATTTACACAGAGGAGAGACATCACCATTCTACTGGCTCACTCCCTAAATGACCACATGAGCCAGAGCTGGGCTGACCCAAAGTCAGGAGTCAGGAGCTTCTTGCAGGTCTCCCACATGAGTACAAGGGCCCAAGAACTTGAACCATCCTCTGTTGCTTTCCGAGACCATAAGCAAGGAGCTGGATTGGAAACGGAGCAGCTGGGACTCAAACCAGGACTCATACAAGACGCTAGGACTCATACAAGATGCCAGCACTGCATGAGAGACTTAACCTAGCATACCACAGCGCTAGCCCCTCAACCTTAATGAGAAAAACACAAGTATCTTAACGTTACACAAGCCTGGGCTCCTCTCACTGAGACTGATCCAGTTACAACCAATGCTGAATGTCCACCTCATTAGTAAAACACCAATGCCCTGTTCCTCAAGCAGAACCACCAGCCACTTGGCACTGTGCTGGTTACAACGGACCTGTCCCATACAGGAAAGAGCAGCCATTGCGGAGGGCAAGGGAAGGGAGAATCTCCCAACCATTTGTTCACTCCCCATATGATCACAACACCAAGGGCTGAGCTGGGCCAGAGCCAGGATCCAGAACTCCACCCAGATCATGCACGTGGATGGCAGAGAACCAAGCTTTGAGCTACTACCTGCTGCTCCTCAGGACGCATTAACAGGGAGCTCATGGCAATATGGGACTCCAATCAGCACTCTGCAGTGAGATGCCGGTATCACAATCAACGGCTTAACCTTCTGTGCTACAACACCCACCCCCACAAACTTTAAGTGCCCTCACATAGGATACACATGAATACATGCATTATGCACATATAGCATGTTTAATGTCATAAAATGATCAAAGTTGATTTAAACACAAAGAAAAATATTCCCACAAAAAAGCTACTTAACACTTAAGATATTTTAAACTGAAAATTAACTCAAAAATATGTATTGTGTCTCCTCTCTGTAAATCTGCCTATCCAAGAAAAAATAAATCTTTAAAAAAATCATTACTTAAGGTCTCCACTGTGAAGAAAACCTGGAATTTATAGATACATTTTAGTGTTTCATTCTCTGACACACACACATTCACCTCTGTATTTTATGGCCCACAGTCAAGAAGTAGCTGAAGTAGCCATGTGATGAAAACCTTGAGTCCGCAGTCCCCAGCTGATGACAGCTGAGCCAGGAAGCAATGCAGCCTCAGTGTGAAAGAACCAGCACAACGCCAAAGGCATGACTGCACCACCCAAGCTCAACCAGTCAGGCTGCTACAAGGTAACCCCCCCTGCATCTGGCCTTCTCGGCTGAGACACAGGAGAACTTGGAATGGACTCAGACAGAAGTTGTGGCCAAGAGAAAAGCCAGATGGCCCAAGAGGCAGGTGAAGAACTTGGAATGGACTCAGATAGGAGTTGTGGCCAAGTGAAAAGCCAGACGCAGAGGTTTATGGACCAGGGTCCAGACACAGAAAGCCAGAGACACAGCAATGCTAGACAATACCCATCAGGCTGCTCTGTGAAAGCAAGTGCCAGAGCTCTCGCGCCTGAATCACAAAGGGAACAACTGGAGTTATGCACAGCCAACTTTCAAAGTGCTGGGGGCCCACAGTGCAAATCACATACCAAAGGAAACATGTCCACTTTCCCCAGCAGTGACGCCGGCAGAGAAAGGAGGACAAGAATCTCTCCATCTACATCCCCCCTTCCTTCCCAAGTGGCACCGACGTGAGGGCCAGGGCATTAACTAAGTTTTCTCAATTCAAGGCTCAGAAAGCACCAAAAGAAAGGAACACCAGTATTACCTGTATTCATAAAAGTGCCCCACAGAAACCTCCAGAGTTGCCAGACAACCACAAATCCACTGGGATACAGGGCGGGAAAAGACACTGCACCCCATCTTCCCAGTGCTGGTGTAGGACCTCGGCAGGCTGCCTACTTTGTAGGACCTCCCACGGGCTCAGCTGGATGGGTTTAGCTTCACCTGCCGTGAGTATTGCTCTTGGAAATGACCACCTGAAGTGAATTTTTCCATCTGCCCTCCTGCCCCTTCTAGCCTGGAACTGCCTGCTCCACTGGCCACGACCTGGAAGGCTGGATCTGCTTACCTTCGGTGCTGAGAAGAACGTGCGGCCCACTCCCATAACTAAGGCTTTTAATCTTCTTCCCACACAAGGCTTCCAGCTTCTTGGGTACAAGGGTACTCTGATTATCTCCAGTTCCTAGACAGTTACTGTAATTCAGTCCAAATACAAAGACCTGGAAAACAAGCAGTTTTGTCTGACTTGTTGGGCCTAAAACTCCATTAACAGATCTCTTCCCTGCTCTGAAAATAAGACTCACTTAAGGTTAAACTGATACTTTGGCAGGTAAGGGGCTGATGAAGCTGATAAAAGAGCAGCCTCTGCTCACCATTGCAGAACACTGACCTACCCAAAGAAACCTCAAACAGTACTAAGGGGCAAGATGCTGTGAACAGAGACCGAGAGAGAAGGTGTGCCACAGGCAGAGTTTTCTTAAACTTGGGATTCCCCTTTTCTCAGCCCAGCTCCAAAATAATGCCTCACCCCCACAGGCTCACCTCATCGTTGTCAGTGACGTACAAGGCTTCATTGGCAGAGGTGCCAAAGACACATGCTTTCCGGATCGAGGCGATCTCTTGAGGGGACAGCAGAGTGAAGATGGGCCACTTTCCCACATCCACCATGACTCTGGCTTCAAGCAAGTCCTACAAGTCAGCCAACATTTCTGCTGCAACAGAGAGTGCAGAGAAAACAGTTACACAGCCACAAGATTGACAATAAAGCAACTTCTTAATAAAAGCTAACAGAAAGGGCTGGCGCAACGGCTGAACTGGCTAATGCTCTGCCTGCAAGTGTCAGCATCCATATGGACACTGGTTCGTGTCGCAGATGCTATACTTCCTATCTAGCTCCTTGTTTATAGCCTGGGAAAGCAGTGGAAGATGGTCCAAAGCTTTGGGACCCCATACCCATATGGGAGACCTGGAGGTAGTTCTGGTTAATGCAGCCATTGACAGAGTGAACTAGAAGATGAAGATCTTCTCTCTCTTTCCTTTAACTCTGTAAAACTGACTTTCAAATAAAAATAAACACTTTAAGAAAGAAGCTAACCTTGGAACAAACCAACTACCTTTTGGCTAAATGGATCACGTACCTTCCCAAGCAATGGATCTAATCCTGCTTCCAGTCCTGGGCTTTGCCTGTAACAAGAGAACAAACAGCTAGAGCCAGTTTTCTGTCTTGCTCTCAGGCTAGTCAGTGCTGGTCTGCTACACCTATGCTCACATACAACACAACACAGAGAAGGGAGAGAAGGAGAGCTACCATGATACAAGCAGGGGCTCAAAGGTTTTTAGATGAAGGTCAAGGTGACAATACTTAGGCAGCCACACCCCAGCTAATGCTCAGCTAGGAATACATGTGTTTACCTCTGCTGACAGCTTTACAACACTTCCCCACACAATGAAACCTAAGCATATTATCAGGGCAAGAGGCTCTCAGTAAGTCGCAAGCATCAGAACCCACACTCTTTGCCACCACCTCGAGGACACACTCCAGTGGAAAATCACTGCCACACCAAGTCACCGGCAGTCAGCACAAGACAGGTCACAAAGAGTATGAACATCAAATTGACACCAGATTTTTCAATGGCAACAGTTTATGTAAGAAAACAACAGAACTATGTTTTTAAAATATTAAAAGAGAAAAATCACAGCTGTGTCCTTGTATCTAGCTCATCATTCAAAAACAAGGGCTTCACCTAGAAAGATATTTTATCGGACACAGAAGTCCTGATTTTTGACACAGACGCTGGAAACTGATTTTGAAACGGGCACAAGTGTGGACAGGATAGTGGAGCTGGGTGGGTTGAACTAGGCTTCAATGCTCATTGACATGTACGAGAGCTGAATGGGATGCATATTGGCAAGCACTGGAACCAGGGTAGGAGGCAGGCCTGGTGGGGGTTATTGCAGGCTGATCTGACTAGGCTGCAGCTCCCACTGGTTTATGTGAGGGCAGGTGTGTGCTGGGCAGAAATCAGGCTGGATTGCACCACCCATTGTTTCCTGTGGAAGATAAGGCTGGAAATAGAACTGACCCAGCAATTGCAACCACCAGCATATGCATAAACTGACTGGGCAACGGATTGTGCCAGACCCTGTACACAAACAAGCACATACAAGAATCTGGTCTGGGATCACATCAGACAACGTTTCTTTGGGGATCCCCCCAACTGAACTGCTGGAGTCAGCACCCCAACCATGAAGAGTAATGCAGGTTCCATGGTCTGACCATGGAGTGCATGTGTCAATGCCCAGCCTCCTCAGAGGCTCAGACAGAGCAGTGGACAGCATATCCAGGCGCACATGGAGGATATGAAAGACCACAGGAACCTGCAGAGGACACCCAGTACCACAACAGATGGAGGACAGAACAAATCAATCAACTATCCCAGCCATGTGTTGGCAGTGAAATCTGGGCAAACGGAGACTCAAAGGTAGCCTGTGTCAGCCAGTGGATTCTGGAGAGATTTCAACGTGCCTGGAATAGCAAGACTGGCAGCAATTCAGAATTGCTGAACTATCAAAACCACTTGAGCAGGATCCTCGGAGCATGCTTGTCCCACATCGGGGACCCCAGACACAGGAAGGAAAAAAGAGAATGTGGAAACAATGGTCTCAACCACTTTCCTGTAGCTCTTGACCCTTTGTGCCCAAATCAAGCATGTAAAGATTATCAAAATAAATAAGTTTCAGATAATATGAAAGGAAAAGCCAGCATTGTTGTATAGTAGGTTAAGCTACAATTCAGAATGACAGTACTCCATATGAGCACCAGTTTGAGCCCCAGATGTTCCATTTTCACTTGAGCTAAAGTGCCAGGGGGAAAGCAGTAGAAGACGGTCTAAGCATTTGAGTCCCTGCCACCCACCTGGGAGACCCAGATGGAGTTACTTGAATCCTGGCTTCAGCCTGGCTAAGCCACAGCCATTGAATCCATTTGGAAGTGATCCAGCAGATGAAAGCTCTAATTCTGCATAAAAAGCAAGTCTCCTCTTCATCTCTCTGATCTTCCCCTCAAAGGCCTTTTTTTTTTTTTAAGATTTGTTTATTTGTATTGGAAAGTTAGATTTTCAGAGCAGAGACATAAAGATCTTCCATCTACTGGTTCACTTCCCAAATGACTACAATGGCCAGAGTTGAGGTGACTCAAAGACAGGAACTTCTTCCACGTCTGACACAGGTACAGGGTGCCAAGACTTTGAGACATCCTCTGTTTTTCCCAGCTGTAAGCAGGGAGTTGGAAGGGAAGTGGAGCCGCTTATATGAGATCGTGGTGTTTGCAAGGTGAGGATTTAGCCATTGAGCCATTGCAGTGGGCCCAATGCCTTGGGAGCCTGCATCCCCGTGGGAGACCCAGAAGAAGCTACTTTGTTTGGATTAGCTCTGCTCCAGCCATTTTGGCTATTTGGGGAGTGGACCAAAGGATGGAAGACTTCTTTGTTTCTCTCCTCCTAACTCTGCCCTTCAAATAAAAATCAATCAATCTTGGGGGAAAAAAAGATAAAATCCACTCACATGGGCAGACATCATGGCACAGAGTTAATTCACTCCCTGGGTGGCTTGTTTAAGTCCCAGTTTCTCTGCATTTGATCCAGCTTCCTGCCTATCAATGCACATCTCGGAAGGCAGCAGATGATGGCCCAAGTATGGTTCTTGCCACCCAAATGGAGGCTCAGATGAGTTCCTGGCTCCTGGCTATGGCCTGACCCAGCTCCAGCTGTTCCAGGCATTCAGCAGATAATGAGCCAGCAGATGGAAGACTTCTTTGTCATTTTGTCTTTCAAATAAAAACCTTTACATGGAAGCTTTGTTCTCCTCTGTAACAATATACCATGGAAATAATTCTATAACAGCACATGTAGGCCTACTTCATTTGTTTCGGTGGTACCAGGGGATTGCATTATATCCATTTAACAACTGTTTCTTATCAAGAAATACCTAAGTCATTTCCAAGCTTTTGTTGGGACAATATTTCAATTATTGTTACATGTATTATGGTAGATGCAAGTCTTATCCTACATATAAATTCCTAAAATACATTCCTAAACATAGAACTGCTGGGTCAAAAATCTAATAGCTATCCTACCTTCAACAGCTATTTCAAACTGTCTTTCAATAAGGCAGCACCCACATATAAAACTGCCATTCCTGAACACCTGCTTGGCCACACTGAGCTGGCCCTGTGATGTAATATACTAAGCTTTGTCCTGCACCTTCAGCAACCCATCTGGGCTCCACACTGGATCCCAGCTGCTCCACTTCTGATTGGGGTCCCTGCGTTGTGGCCTTGAAAGAGCAGCAGAGGATGGCCCAAGTCCTTGGGACCCTGCATCCACATGGGAGACACGGGAAAAGCTCCTGTTCCGGATTTGCCCAGGCCCAAGCACTGCAGCCATTTGGGGAGTGATCCTTCAGCAGCAAGATTTGTCTGACTCCCCTATCTAACTCTACCTTTAAATGAAAAGAAAGTAAACCTTAAGGGGGAAAAAAAAAATCACAACTCACAGCACTGTCATAAATACATGCACACTTATCAATTCTTTCATCTCACTTCAGCATAAGGAAACGGAAAGACTGTCAGCTCAGACTGAAGTGACACCGCCAGGAAGTGAATGCAGGCAGCTGCCCAGTCCGCACTTCCACGCCTGGTCTCAGATGCTTAAGACACAACTCTACATGTACAGGAAACTTCAAAAATCTCATGGCAAATGGAATTTGGAATCCCATACCCAAATTCTTCCCTATAAACTTTCTAAAGTTTGATTTCAGAATTCTTAGGCCAAAATAAACTTCCTTTTCATTCCAATTCTGTCAACTTTTTGAAGTTCTCAAAATGAGTCCGACTTTTGTGAAAAATATCTATTTCTCCTTTGGAGATCACTGCCCTTGTTAATTTATAAATGTTCTTTGTACAGTAAGTTTAACTTAAATGCTTTCAGAAGTTTAGAAAAAAAAAAAGATGCTTCTCAAATACCCTGTTTTATGCCTCTTTAGACCACAGATAGGAAAGAAGATAACAAATGCCTGTAAGCAGGTTGAGAAACTAAAGTCTAGAAGCATATTTCCCTAGCAAATGAATCAGGGATTGGCACTCCACAGTGCTAAAGCTACCACCTGCAACATGGCATCCATCTCAGAGTACCAGTTCAAGCCCTGGCTGCTCTACTTCCGGCCCAACTTCCTGTTAATGAATGTAAGGAAGGCAGTGGAAGATGGCCCGAGTACCTGGGCCTCTGCCAAACATATGGGAAACCCAGATAGAGCTCCATGCTCCTGGCTTTAGCCTGAGCCAGTCCCAGCCATTGCAGCTACTGGAGAGTGAACCAGCACGTGAAAATCTCTCTCTCCCTCTTTATTATTCTACAACACAAAACAGATATTGCCATCCAAAACCATGTAACTTCCTGTCAGCAGTACAACTACTCTGAAATCGGTCCTTAAAGACAGAAACCCTGCCCCAAGGGTTTGGCGATATATGGTAAGATCAAGCAAACTGTTATAATGACAAGGTACAACGAATGGAGCTGACCCATGGCTAAAGCACTAGTCCTATTTTACAAACTTGTTTCTTCAAAGGCTTGTAATGTAAAAGTCAATATAAAAAAGTAAATGTATCTTGCATATCCACACACAAAGAGAAAAGCATCCTCAATAGTATTGGTATGGCAGAGGGCGGGGTCTAAAGCCTGTGCTTTAGGCCCAGGCTGGCTTTTTTTTTTAAGATTTATTTATTTTTATGGGAAAGGCAGATATACAGAGAGGAGGAGATACAGAGAGGAAGATCTTCTATCCACTTATTCACTCCTGAAGTGGCCACAGTAACCAGAGCTGAGCCAATCCAAAGCTAGGAGTTTCCCCTGGGTCTCCCACATGGGTGCAGGGTCCCAAGGCTTTGGGCTATCATCTACTGCTTTCCCAGGCAACAAGCAGGGAGCTGGATTGGAAGCGGGGCCACTGGGTTAACATCTGTGCCAATATGGGATCCCAGCTCATTCAAGATGAGGACTTTAGCCACTCCGCTATCCTGCCACCCACCCCCTCCAGGGCTGACTTTTAAAGGTTTGACTTTTTAAAGGTTTTACTTCCCCTTTTGGGCCCAAAACACCTGCTCCAGCTTTTAAAATTCATGATTTTAT